GTTAATCACTTTTATAAAAAATGTACACCTAATTAAATAGTATAATCGGGTAAGAAATATCCTCTCCAAAACAACTTCCCTGTTGATGAAAAATAAATATTTAATCTAAAAAATTAATCCTATTTGTACTAAGCCATTTAGTCTTCCAACCTCTCTCAGAAAAAGTTTAACTCCAATGATATAAACTTTATCTGATACAGTTGCATTAAATCCAAAGAATATAATTTCAGTAGCCAATAATAATCTATTTGACTTGAACATTTAAATCTTAGAATGATGACATTTTCCAAATTGTCACCAAACAGAGAATTTGAGAAGATGAAGACAAAAACATAATTCTTCCTAAGGATCTCATTTGTTAACTGAGTAGTATTAGCCTTTATCCTTCTGAAAGCAGAATTCTTATAAGAAGATAATCATTTTTTCATTTGTAAAAATACAATTGTTCAACACTAACACTGGCACTATGGTGAATTCTCTATTTTGTTTACATTTACATTTTTATGTAAGTAAAACTTGGCAGCGGTGCCCTTGCTCGCTATGGTTGCCAACCTCCCTCTCTGGGTGTCGGCAGCCCCGGCTTCCCCACGCACCCACCAGGGAGGGCCAGGCTGAGGTGTGGCAGTGCTGGCTTGCCCTGGCTCTCTCCCCCAGCCACCGGGCCCCACCAAGATCAGGCCAGCCCTGACTCTCCCGCTTCAGCCACGGGGGGCTGGGCTGGGCCAAGGCCGTGGCTGGCCTGGCTCTCATCCTCTAGCTGCCAGGGGGTTAGGCCTCGCTGAGGCTTTCCTCCCACCTTGCTGCCATGGAGGGTCCGAGGCTGCTCTGGCCCCAACTCTTCCCCCTTCCCCAGCCACAGGGAGGGCCCAGTGCCGAGGCCACCCTGGCCCCAGCTCTCCCACCCCATAGCTGCCAAGGAAGGGTCCAAGGCTGCCCTGCCCCCATCTCTTTTCCACCCAACCCGGCCACCAGCTACTGGGGGATTGGTCTGGGCTGAAGCAGGGAGGAGGGGGCGTGGCTCCCAGACCCGCTCTGGAAGAAGGCAGGAGGCACAGCTCCCACCCTGCCTTCCAGAGCACCCAGGAAGCCACATGGCTACCCCCGGAGTTCCGGGGAGACCAGAGAGCTGCTGCCTCCTACCCCCCAGTACCAGGGAGGCCTCACAGCCCTCGCCAGAAGAAAGGGAGGGAGGTGCTGTGGGTGATTTGGTATATGATGTGAACAGAAGAGATCGCAATGAAAAGATCCATTAGATATGTTGGACAATTCTACCCATTTGTAATGAAATCTACTATATCAAGCAGCTGGAAGGTGGCATAAGATATAGTTTTGACTTTAACTTGATGTATACTTACTTGTGGTGACACTGCATATATACACTACTCTAGATTACTCCCCCTTATACTTAGTTGAGAAGATATAAACAAGCAAAATGGGGTTTAACTTTCACCAATTTATGCATCATTTCTGAATTTGAGCACAAATCTAGAGGACATTTGTTCTACCAGCTTAAAATACATTAACAAGTGAGCTGGAAGAAAATCTTAATTACACAACTTTGACTCACATCTTCAATTTGGCCCCATGGCTTTCTTAAATCCTCGCACATTCCTTTATGGTTATGTGTCATCTTTCCTGGATTTGTCAATTTGAACTGTTCAATTTGTTTACCAATTTGCAATTCTTTATGTACAGTGATTCTTTTGGCCAATGCTGATGGTCTTAAAAATAGTATCTCTGCATAACCATTTTCTAATATCCAAGAATACAGATTCTAAAACCTCCATAAATATTAATGTTTAAAATAATTTTGCTATACTATTTTTTTGCTATTTTAAGTGCAACAGCATAATAAAATGTATTATACATCTCCTACTACTCCAGCAAGCCAAGCCCTTAGCTCTTATGATTCTGCATTTTTGCAATGTAGTTTGCATACAGCAAATTTTAAACATCATTTTCTGTTGTATTATATTCAAACAGTTTGACTGGTATTATGATGGTATTATGAGACAAATATTTTGAAAATTTTATTACTTACATTTGTAAATTTATGACATTAACATGTCATGTTTTTCCCAAGGTTCTTATTCTTGCTGAATTGCTACAAATAAGTAGAAATTATACTATCTAATCAGCTAGACACCATGTGCCCTGCTGAAAAATACTGCCTTACATAAAACAGAAATAACTGTTTTGTTTCCAAAGTGTTCATTCTTAGTTGGTTTGGTTACACAAGAAACAAATATCAGGCTTAGGGAGTAAGGGAAATAGTTCACATACACGCATTTTGATTCAGTGGGAATATAGGTACAATTGTTTTATAAGTACAAATAACAAAAAGATAATAATGTTGATATAATGGGAAAGAACTGAGTTTTTTTATCATTAAAAGGTCAAATGTATTGCTAAATGAGCATATTAACTCCAATCTTAAGAATGTATGTGAATCACAATAGTAAAAACTAAATTATTGTTTGCTGTGCATCAATAGGTTACACATTGACTACAAGATTCTTAAAAAGGGCTTTATTCTGAAGTTCTTTCTTTTAAAACATACATGCATTATGAGTATCTTATTACCAATACAGCATGTATGTATTTATGGTTTTCTGTAGCACCTCTGGCTATGGTATGCAAGGGCTTCCTAATAAATTACACCACTTAAACAAGAACCTGGTAAACTTCAAGTTTTCCCTTCCTATTATAGAAAATACTGGCATAATCATTTTGTATGTGATACAGAAATAAAATCTTTCAACCCACAAAGAAAACTGTGTTATTTCTGAGGAAGAATAAAGAGATTCCTGACATCATCTTTGCTCCATATATACTAACAGATAGGATCCACAAAAGAATCATCAGCTGACCTAAGTGTAAATAGCATTGGTTAAAGAGAGAAATTCCCAAGTGTTTAGGTTTCTTATAGGTAGCTACCTTGCCAAGAAACCATGCTCTTGGGCTATGTCTACACTACGAGTTTCCTCGGCAAAAAATATGCTAATGAGAGACTCATTTGCATGAGTTGTGATCTCATTTGCGTATTTTCTGCCGATCCCATTTTTGCGCTGGGGTTTTTGCGCAAAAACAAGCAATGTGGACATTTTCTTTTTGTGTAAACCCCCCTTTTTTCGCAAGATCCTTATGCCCCAAAAAAGGAGGTTTACCGATCTTGCAGAAAAAGGGTATTTTGTGCAACAAGAAAACGTCCACACTGCTTGTTTTTGCCCAGAAACCGAGCAAAAAACCAGATCGGAAAAAATATGCAAATGAGATCACAATTCATGCAAATAAGTCCCTCATTAGCATATATTTTGCCGAGAAAACTCGTAGTGTAGATGTAGTCTTAAAGAATATATCTTTGAGACTGTATGTGACATGGTACCAAAATAATTTATGCTCATTTAGCTTGTATGTAGTTGGGCTATTTTTTGGTTTTAGGTTTTTGTCTTAAGCCATTTTTAATTTTCTTCACATTTTGCATAAGTGACACTTCTCTTTCACAGAGCTTCTTCTGAGGAAAGTGGGAAGTTCAGCACTGCAATCAGTCCTATTTTTTAATTTTGTTTCCTGCTGTTGCTCAGAGCTATCATTCCAGACACAGAAAAGCACAACTATGTAAGAGTAGAGGAATAAGCTTTTAAAGGTTTATAAACCATTAAGGAACAGGTCAACTTTAATTAACTTTATTAACTTTCTGCAATGAAGCAGTTATCCTGACAACTAGAAATCTGAGTTTGGTTCCCTCCTTTCATATTTGATCACTAACATATGGAAACAATCACCCATGTCTCAACCCCAAAACATGAAAATTGCCACAATCTTTTGAAGATGGTAGTAGCAGACCACAAAGCTGCTGGTAACTACCCCCAAAAAATCCAAATATTAGCCTTCTGCAGCCGTGTATATACTAGACTACTTTTCTTTCGATCTCCCACAAAAGGCGAAGTTCTAACAATGATAGAACATTTAACCACTACGTTGTTTACCTTGCTTAAAGAAATTCTGGTTAAAATATGAGTGATCTGCCAGCATTAGTGTTTCACAGTATTAGTGTTAGAAATGGTGGCCAACTTTAAAAAATATGTCTAGTGTACATGGGGCAACTGGCAGCTTTCATAATCTTTAAATGCTTTCAAGAGCCAAGTAGTCATGAGAAACTTGGAAACCTGACAAGGTGGTCTCAAATTCACTTCCCACAGCCAGAAAAAAAAATCACATAAAATAATACTCCACAGAAGAAATTAGTGTTTCACTAGGTTTTTTGGTATAACCTTAGGCACTGTTTGTCTTATGTGTAAATTATCAGTCATCTTCATAGTAACCTGCCCTTTTAAAGTAGAGCATACACTTATACTAATACCCAGCAAATACATATCAGCTGGCTGGTGTATTGTTTTCAAATACTGGTATCTGCATTCTTTTTACCGGATGCAGTATCATTGTCTTAGTTCAGATGTGGCAGATAAAAACCAATGAGAACACATAGTTTGTTTTCATTTTTAAAGTGCCCAATGGTATCCAACAACAATAACAGGAAGAACTGTAAGGATCGATATGCAAGATTATTACTTGTGACTTTTCCGCCTCTTCCAAAGAATACAGGCGATCCCTGGGTTACGTACAAGATAGGGACTGTAGGTTTGTTCTTAAGTTGAATTTGTATGTAAGTCGGAACTGGTATATATTGTAGGGGAAACTCTAGCCAAACATTTCTCCAGAGCTCAGTTTTATTCTCCCACATCTCACTTCCCTCAGTCCTTTATTCTCAAGCTGAGGTATCTGCTGAGAAAAGCCGCTCCGCGTCTCCTTGGTCTGCTGCGGGGGGGGGGGCGCTGGCTTCGCGTCTCCCTAGTCTGCTGGGGGGAAGCAGCTAGTGCGGGGTTGCCTCACCCTGTTTGTAAGTAGGGATCCGATGTAAGTCGGATCCATGTAACCCGGGGACTGCCTGTACATATGAGAACTTTTCGATATAAGATTTAAAAAGAAAGAGTACTTACTAGGTCCCTGTGAAGCACCCAGTTTGCATGGAGGTAATGGATTCCATCAAGGATCTGGTAGAGCAGTGATTTAACCATGGATCTTGGCAACTGCATGGGCTTTTTATTTGCTTTTGAGGCACGGTGAAACTTGATAATATGCTAGAAATAAAACAAATAGAAACAAGGTTTTTAAACAAAAAAGTTTCCTTAACATCAAATATGGGAAAGAAAAAAAGAAAGAAATAGGTGGGTAGCCTTTTGCACTGCAAAAGTGGCCTCCAATTATTTTCCAGATGTGCGTTCTCAGTGTTACACACCTACTCATTTTAAAAGAAAATCTAGATAATATGAAAAAAGTGACTACTTACAACTTTAGAGTCACTGTGGTTCTTAGAAATGTTTTTCCATGCCCTCCCTCCCCCATTTATGGTAACTATGTGCTGCATGTGTGTGAGATTGGAATTTATTTATTGATTTATTGTCCAGCAATGACCATTGGAGCCACATCTGTGCCCTGCACACACCCAAGAGCATATGGGATAGACCAGCCCTGACTGCCTCTTGGCTTCCTGGCTAATTCATAATCCCAGAATAGTTGGACTCGAAAATAACAGAAAAGAGAGGAGGTTATGGGATGTATAGGGACAAAACAACTTGAAGACCATAGTTACTGTAGGGCTAAGTAATCATTATCACCTCAAGTCTTGGTCAGCATCAATCTCACTTATGGCAGCAGGCTAGCATTTCCCACATTAATAAAGAGGGTCTCAGAAGTTTTAACTACAGAACTGTCCTCCGAATTTGGAATCTGATGTGCTCTCCGATCAAAGGCCTAATGTTTATTAAAGATATAAAATTAGCTCCCAAGTGTATGTCCTGTGGGTCTCTAAAGGGGGTTGCCTGAGCTCTAGTTGAGTGGGTCCTATATGCAACAAGCCAAAATGCACTCAAATGATCCACTTGGATAATCTCTGAGAAAAGGGTAATTCAGGTATTGTTTGGGTAATCCCCGAGAGGAGAGGTGATGGGGAATGGATAAATGGAATTAGATGGTGAAGAGAAAGAAAGAGTAAATATGTTCTAGAGATGGTGGTGATAGCTTAGTGGTAGGATAGGACCAGTGCTGAAGATTTAATTCTTTCTTGTACCAGATAAATAAGTACAAGTGACAACAGAAATAAGGCCAGACCCAGTAACTCAAATGTTAGTAGGTAGAAACAGTAGAAACAGTGCAATGCAGAATTTGGTAGAAATTGTGTGTATGCAGAATTTACTTTCCCTGCAGTGCTGCTGGCTGCTACTAGGAGCTGCTAGACCATACCGAGCCCAGCTTGGGAGTAAATGGGGATATTGCTGTGGAAACTTCATTTTCTCATTAATGCATCAGAGGGAGCTTAATCAAATATTTTTTCCTTTTTTTGTTGAGGCTGGAGTGAGGAGGGGTTGGTATTAATTACCAACTGATTGGTGACATAATTACAAAGATTTTAAATATACGAAGAAAATATGATGGTAGAAAGAATAATGTAGCACCCACTGTTAGACTTGTAGAGCAAGCACAAACAGTGACTCTTCAACAGTTCTAGACCAAAATATTTTTTACCTAGTACCAGGAGGGAAAAATAAAGAGCTTGAGTTTAACAGGAGGCAATCTACATGGAGATGTTAGCCTGAGCTAAAAATTAGTTTGCTTGGAGGGAGCCAGAGCCGGAGGAGATAAATAAAGAGAATGGAGAGATTCTGCATTAGCAGATCTTAATGCAGGATCTGACCTCACTTGTATTAGTATTTTTCTATTGTAAAGCAGTTAGGTTGCTTTTGTAGATAAGGATTATGTGAATAGGCCTAGCTCATGACATTTGCAAGATTACATTTCAAAGAAAGTTTACACAGCTGTTAATGACCTAAGTTACAGAAAGAAAAGGGTTCTTTTTTATAGATTTTTTGGATGTTCTAGATATCTGAAGACTCTGATTTTTTTTAATATCCTGTGTTACTAATTAATACATGGTAAATCGTTAAAACTGAAAGAACTTTGCCATGAAAGCTGTTTATTTGGTTGACCTTTTAATTAGAGTTGGATTCTAGACAATTGATTTCCATTACATTTTAGAATGGAAGTTTCAGAGGATAGCCAAGTTAGTCTGTACAGAATAAACTTAAAAAACAACAAAAGGTCTGGTAGCACTTTATAGACTAAAACAGTAGTGGCCAACACATGGCTCGTGAAGAAGAAAATTGCGGCTCCTGAGAGAACTGGGATGGAACATGGAACCGCTCAGGTCAGCCGTTCTCACAACCAGGCCGCTGTGAGAAACATGTGTGCTCACGGCCCACGCCATTCCTCTCATGGCCCCCAGCACATTACATCATATCCTGCACGTGCAGGCCAGGTCACACACAGCATCCCAGCCTGCACATGCTAGCAGCTGGCCGCTGTGTGCAGGCAACAGCGAGGGCTCCAGATGCAATGGCAGCACCAGCTCCAGCTCCTGGACATAAGGTTGGGGGGGAGAGGGTGCGTATGGCGTCCCGGCCAGCTCATGCTCAAAGCCGGCCACTCAGCACACGCGCCCCAGCACCTGGAGGGAGACGCACGGCTGTAGCAGCGGTGATGGCTGCGGGACCCAAGAATTAGGTTAGAACAGGGTGGGGGAGGTGCCTGGCTCTAGTCTGGGGAAGGGGAGGGGAGGGGAAGGAAAGAAAGGGGAATGGGGTTGGGAGGGGGGGGCACA